TCTAGGCAATGAAGAAAAAAAAAACTATCCAGGTTTTCATCTAAATCCATAGAATCAGGCAAAGCACTTCGTGCAAACTTTCATATCAAGACAATAATCATGTGGATTTTCCACTTTCTTTGCACACCATACAAAACATAAAAGCTATCAAGGTATCTTATCCATCCGTTTACAAAATTAGTATTGTTCTTCAAGTCCAATGGTATAAGGTTTAAAATCTTGGGCATTTAAAAAAAAAAAAAAAAAAAAAGTAGATAAAAATAATAGATAAAAGATTTATAATAGATATTAGAACCATTTCAATAGTAAAATCTAGGCAATGAAGAAATTATGAAGTTAATTATGGATGCCAAAGACGTTTCTATGTTTTATGATCTCTCAAATTTCTACAAACTTTGTGACAGTCATTGAAAAACTGATGTAATAAAGTGTAAACTGACAATCAATTATATACAATTACTTATTGCAAATAATTTACCTTTGTTATTTTCTGTTGGCAATATTTAAAATTGCAATTACATTTTATTTATAAAATTTCAAAAACTTTGCTCTGCATTTTCTTGCTTGTGTACACTACCTCTTAAATATTTTTAAAATGACATTCTATGTATCACTGAATAGTTATAGAACAAGTTTAAATCAATATAAAATTTTACTTCTAAGACATCACCAAAAGATTCCACTATTTGGAGTGGAGTAACAATGTGAACAGAAGAGTCCACTATAGAAATGTCATGGACTCTTCTGATGTTGTAAAACATATTAAACAGTACACACACACATTATATATGACATCAAGGGAATAGGAATCAACATTGCAAGGTGGCTATCAGTTTCATGCCTTAATGTGATCTTCAGACTAAAAAAATATATTTATTAAACACAAACACACAAATATTGCATTTTATTTATATGGATTATAACTCACTAAAATTTTACTTTTATCTAATGACTAATGAGAATTGCTTGATGGCTGAGGCTGATGCCTTATTCACCAATGTCAATGGCTGTCTCTCAAATCAAAGTGAAACAGAACAGAATTTCTAGCATTAACTTTTAAGGTAGGCAAATTCCTCATACTTGGAAAATTGGTGCAACACAATGTTCCTAGTTATATTTCTTCCTGTTTGGCAATATACTAAACTGAACTTGGAAAATACTTTATCACAAATATTTTATGTGAACAATAAGAATGAAACAATGAAAGGTAAAATAAAAAGAATCCTGCAAATATTCTGGTGTCAAATTGTATTTTCATGTTTTTAACTTGTTTGGTAAGTTATGTGATTGGTGACAAGTTTAGTTTAAAAAGGTGATAATCCATTAACTGCCATGTCAGAAATGTCCATTACAGTTTTGGGTCTACTGATGGAAACTTTTACCACAGTTAAAAACCTAGTATGTATGAGTGTTCCTAATCTCTTTCTCAAGGACCCCACCAAAAAAAAAAAAAACAACCCTCTTATGTTACTTTAGAGGGTCAATAAGCCCAACCAAGAGCAAGCTGGAAACACACACATACACAAATGTATTGGGGTGAGTCATTAATAATATTTGTTTATCAACTTTATTCTTAAAAATTGTTTCCCAAAAATGGAAATTACTTACATCTCAATCTAATAAATACAGAAACTATGAATAATTGATCTTAGATCTTCCAATAGTGTGATTAAAAAATTAATTTGAACAAATTTTTTATGTGGAGTGTCATAGAAAATTCTGCACTAAAAGTCAAATAAATAAAATAATTCAAATTAGCATTCAGTCATGCAGTATGATTATAGGACTAGAGGCTCTTGTTTCCATAACACAATGGAAGTGGGCATATTTTTCTACTGCAAAAGAACAATTATTCTTTCAGACATGACATTGAAAGTAGGTTTACAAAAATTGTACATCACCAATCACAGGTTTTATTAATTCAATAATGAGAAATCAGTTTTAACCTTTATAAACATCTTTAAATTTGTTAACATACAATAATACCAACAACAAACATGTGCTTTCCCATGATCAAAATACAGATTGTAAGGAATTAAAATATTTAAGTAGTACTAGCAATATTAAACATCCGAGTCACTGAATTTCTGGAAACTAAATTTTAACCATTTTTGTTTAAGAATTTGTTTACAAAACAAGGCAAGGGGCATAATATGTTTTTTTAAACATTATTCAAATAGGAACTGTTTTATTTTTTTTAAGCCTCATCAGAAATTTTTGGAATCAGAAATTTTTAATGTTTCCAAAAATTTCTGATGAAGGTTAAATAGAAGCAAAATTTGTTAAATTTATAAACATATCCAGTTTGTTCCTTATCCTATAATTCTGTCAGATTCTAAAGCATATTTGATTCAATTTATTATCTACAAGATAATCTACAAGATATGAATCAGGTATAGTTACTTCAGATAAGAGGTCCTGTTATCCATAAAGATAGGTAATTCTCTAAGTTTTATATGGGCCATTTTGAAAACAAAATATTTTATAAATTAAATAAAAAGCACTATTTATGTAAGATACATAGTTGATATGCTTATAAAAACAAAATTGCCAATGAGATCATAGGACTTAAAGAAAATTTTTAGAAAAATTTTGTGTTAAAATTTACTTTTGAATCAAATATTAAAAACATCCTTTTCTAGATGTATTTAAAAGTATATATCTGAAAAGATATAAATTTGCAGTCAAACAATTTGAAAAGCTAAATTAATCTCATCTAAAACAAATTTTCTTAAAGAATTAAGTAACATAAAACAAACATTTATTTGTTAACAATGGCTTCCCTAATTATATTGTTGACTACCAAATTAGACTTTGCTTATACAGTAATAATTTTAATATAAACCAGAGTTCTCAGGGCAAGATTAATAGCAATACCATTAAGATTTTCTACAGAAACCAAATACACTAGAATTACGAAAAAGATGAGATTTCAATAAAAGAAAAAGAAAACATTAAAAATCTGTTGCTAAAAATACACATGATTTGTCATTGACTATAAAAAAAATTTAAAATCAGTAATCTCAAAGTCTTGTTACAAAACAAGTCCTTTCCTAATAAGATTGAACAATTTTCTGTTGAAATAAAAAAAAAAAAAAAAAAAAAAAAAATCAAGATAGGTAATGCTGCGACAGACATTGTAATTTAATGGCTTAGAAACTAATCTATAAAAATGACTATAAAAATTTATGCTTTCCACAAAAGGATTATATAATTCAGAGAAGAGAAATAGATTTAAATTAACTAAACTCATCAGTATACAAATTTATTCTTTTTTGTTTAATACTTTCCGAATCCACACCATTTTCAAAATAAAAACTGAGAAATCATTCTGAAATTATAATCTATGATTGGTATAGCTTGTATAATTTCAGATAATGTTAGCCTCTTAATATGTGAAATTTATCAATGTCTCTCCTTAGAAATCATGAGTTGACATCTTTATAGCAAACATTTTACAAACCTTACATAGAAATGAGAGTCCACAAGAATAAACTAAAAAAAAACAAAACAAAAAAAAAACAAAAAAAACAAAAAAAACAAAAAAAAACAAAAAACACTGAAAACCCAAAAGTGAATTACTTTATAACAGTTACTAAATCATTTTATAAGGAAGCAAGAAAGTTTGCCTACTTACTTATTCATTTCGTCTTGAACTGCTTCCTGCAATGAAAATAAAAATCCTTATATTGAAGAAAAATATCAGACACACTAAGCAAACAATTTCAGTCAGGTGCAAACTTAAAAGCTGTATAATCACATGATTATCTCTCAATCCTTGACACAAAAGTATCATAATATACCATTTGAATCAAGAAATCAAACATAAAAAAAATTAAAAGAAAAACAGTATACATGGACAAATGTAACCAGAATATGGTGTAGTGTCAAAAGGACATTTTTTTTTCTCACACTGGTTTTAAAACTACCTTCACCTTTCGGCAATATTTTTTGTTTTAAAAGGCACTGATTAAAATTGTAATAAAACCTAAATGTATGAAAGTGAATTTATACATTTTCTTTGTTCTTAAGAATTGACAATAAAAAAAACACTATTTATTAAAGTGTTCATTTACACTATTTATTATATTTATTGGAATGGTTGGCAAAACTTTGGCTAATTGCCAATTGATTCAAATTTTATAAGACTAAATAATAAGGATTTACTTATAGTTGATTCACATATAATAATTTAGTAAATGTTTATAAATTTCTGAATAAAAATTATTTTCATTTATTTCTTCATGAATTGGTAAATGATAAGTATTGCATTAATTCTAATTGTATTAGTTTTTTTTTTTTTAGAATGTTGCAAATATAAAATTATTCTTGTAAATAAACAATCTAATAAGTAAAGAGTCTTTAATCTTTTTGTTGCCAAGTCTCAAGAAAATGTACAATTCACTTTCATATGTTTAGGTTTTATTACAATTCTAATCATCTATTTTTAAAACAATAAACATTGCTGAAGAGTAGTTAAAAAAGTGGTGTCATGGGAAAAATTCACATATGCTCAGGAACATTCCTTTTGCAGGCCATTTTCATCAGAATTATTCACTTAGCTGTAACACATCCAAACACTTTCCCTAGTAGCAGCGATAGAGCAGTGAGAGACTTGCCACATTCCACCCTTAAGTAAGGAGTTGGTGGATGGAAAATAATTCTTCTTCAACAAGGACTCAAGGAGATGCTTTTGAATGCTATCAAGACTGACAATTGAGGACTGGGCAGTTCCTGTCCCAATATGGCAATTGTACATTTTTGGCTTGATCTGGCTCTTATAAAGGTAGAGGATAGCAGAGGAATCAGGTACTTACTCAAGTGGTAAAAGGAGCTGATCATTTTACTGGCATCTTTAGTGATGGATCATATATAGGAGTTCCATTTGAGGTCAGGTGTAAATTTGAGGCCAAATATCCTCTCAAGGCATGGGGCCTCTTCAAGGGGACATCCATTCATCATTACTTCTTTTGTCTTTTTCTGATGGTGGTTATGGAATGCTTACAGCACCTGATATTCCCAAGCAGTCACCCATCCAAATACTGACCAAGTTCTATGTTGCTTAACTTCGATGATCAGATGAGAACTGGTGTGTTCAGTGTGATATAGCCATATGTCTTACAGGATTTTGATGAGCTTGGGGAGCATGCTATATTTTTGCAAACTGCCACAATGTAGGCCTATAGACAAAGTTTAAAAATCAGGATATGCCACTGCTGTTGGTCACCTGAACTCTTGTTGCTATTCCAAGATCTGGCAAAGAGTCAAATTCTGATCAATACATCCATGACTTGATAGCTAGAATCCCTGTCACATAAATCAAAAGATCTGAATTATTCTATACCAACTGTCACAGAATTCACCATAAGATGTGGTGGCAAAATTTAGTTTCATATACAGAAGAGACAACTTGTGACTCTAGAAGACTGATCTGGCTAATAGAAGAAAAAAATGCTACTGGCAAATGAACTAGTGTCAGTTTGGTTAATGGGCTGCTAATTACTGACCAGAAAAGACATCTGGTTTGTTAAGGCAACCATTTTAAGCAACAATTGAAACATGATATACCCTGCATCTCAAAACCAAAGAATGTCTGATGAACCACTAACAATCATAGAACTCTGCTTTCAAAACCACAATTATATAGAAACAAAATAGTGAATATTCACAACTGAATTAAGTGCATTGACAAAGAAAGAAATTATGCTAAAAAAAATAAATAAAAAATTCTTTTTCCATTGTAGACTTAGTACTTTACCTATTTACTATGTTCAAACATTACTTTATAACTTTAGTTTATTTGACAATATCAAAATGATAAATAAATACCAAATAATATTCATCTGCATCATAAGCAATTTCCATTTTTGGGAACCAGTTGTAACATTTTGAAGAATAAAGTTGATAAACAAAACTGGAAATGACTCAACCTAATAAGTGTATTTGTGATGGATAATCAGCTTAAAAATTCAGAAATGAAATCATAATTTTACATATCTCCAGTCTTTATGTCATTGGTAATAAAATAATTTAACATTTGTCCATTCTAAATGGAAAAAAAAATTCTGAAGAGAGATGGAAAGAGGAGAAATTATAGACTCTGAAGAAACATTGGAAGTGTATGAAAGTTTCAAGAAGATAACATCAGAGAGATAATAAAAAGCAAATTCAAAAGATTGGATATGTAATCATCCATTGAGTATACTTCAAGAAGTACTGTTTTTCTATTGTTATTGTTCAAAGAGATTGGAGATGATTTTGCCTTGTACAAGCAGGAACATTTTCCTTGATAAGAGATTCTTCAGATACAGAAGAAAAAGAGGAATAAATAAGGAATAACAATTATTCAGATAAAGGCTGCTTTTATTTGTCAAGCAAGTAGAAAGATTCTTGAATTGTCAAGAACCAAGTGGTATGTCCATGACTAACAAGTGTAAAGATCTCATTGTGAAAACCCCTGGAGTATTTATTCGCATATAAATCAAGTAACCTTAAAAGTTTGGGAAATGTGAATAGCTTCCAAAAATTTAAGGAAACCAATCAAAACCTTCTTCAGTGGGCTGCACACACATACATACATACATTTATAACTGAAGCATACAAATGCCATTAAAATGTTTTAAAATAATAAAGAAACATATTTCTTAAGTGGCATAGGGAGAAGAAAGTAGAAGCTTTATTTTTTCTACTGATGACCGAGATATTTTCACATTTTCTTAATAGCACCTGTGGTTAGTGTTCCAATCCTGGTGAAATCCAAGAATTCAAATAATAATTTTCAGAGCAGACCATCCCTACTTGACCTCAATTGATCCTGTGTTGCAAAGATTAGGCAACAAATATATACCTAAGTGTATATGTATGCTACTTTTCAATGGAGCAAAGAGGAAAGTCAATATATATCAGGGATTGGCTTCATGAATTAAAATTTATGAGAGGATTTTATATTTATACCATGCCTAATGTTGGCCAGTGAGATCTGAAAGGACAGAATTTTGAATATTTATCAAAATATGTTTTTGCATCCAAAGAGAGGTCATAAGGATAAAGAAGACAATTTGTACATATTTTTTTAAAATCATTTCACCTCAAAGATGATAATGCCACTAAGACACAAGGGAATTACTGGGAGTGAAAGAGAGTGAGAAGATTTTAGGACAAGAACTGGAAATTCAATCCTAAATAGAAAACAAGGGATAAACCTCTACTCCTGTTCTAAAGAAGGAGCGTGAACCAGTGATAGGTGAATATATATATATATATATATATATATATATATATATATATATATATATATGTATGAGAGATGTTTAAGAGTTCTCAACCTGGTCCACTTCCAAGAATCTGACCAAATGACCAAACTTATTCCCAAGGAATTTAAGAATTTAAAGGTTTATTTGCTGAAGAGGTTGTAAAGCAGATTTGATGGATGAAGAGAAATATTTAATAACTTTTGAACTTTCAAAAGAAAACACTTCTGAAATTTATAAAAATGATTGACAAAATTAAGAAATACTCATCTTTGTTGTTATCACATTTCAGCCATAATGCTCTCTGGCCTTCATCAGGTGTATGTTGATCTGGGTAAACTACAAGGAATTTCAAAATGACCATTTATTTAATCTATAAGACTGTTCTTTCCACTGCACATGTTTAGGGATATCTCATCTAGTTCTCATTTTTAGTACTGCCCAGTTATTGCTCACCCTGTTTCTAAGTATACACTGCTCAGCCAAGGGATTGAACTCAGTGTCTCACCAAATTCACAAACCAAGACTTTAATCCACTATGTTATTGTCAGAAATTCAAACTTTGAAGAAATTGAAGTTCCATGACAACTCAAATGCAGATTTGATAAGGGCAAGTTCAGGACTTTATATTGCTGAAGTGTTTTCAATAGAAGTCAAGAAAGAAGTCAAATATTGTCGTTATCAAGCTATGAAATCTTTGGCGTTGTGGCAACAAGGGTGTGCTGAAAAGCACAATATACCAGGCAAATAAAGTGGCAAATCATAAGACCAAATAATATGCCTCTTTTAAAAGCTATCTATAATTTCATGAATGGGAAAGCATATATGAAGATTGATTTTTCAACTTTTCTATTCATCAAAGATACTGTCATTGGGCCAGACCAGAGGTGGGAAACCTGTGGCCTTCTGGGTCATCACTTGCAGTCTTCAGAAACTTTTGAGCTGGGATGTGGAATGAGATAGCTTAGAAAAGTTGGAGCTGAAGCCAGCAAAAAATGTACTAGCTCCATAAACTAAAAGTTCACAATAAATTTTCCTCTTTTTCAGCAATAATTAAATTTATCATTCTGAGCTTGTTACTGATGATCAAAAAATATATTACTAGTGCTATTTGAGTTGGCTAAGGTCTTTTCCCTGGTTTTAACTTGGAACCATTAAGATCTTCATAGCAAAATTATATATTTAGTTAGTGACTTTTCACTTTCCTCTTACTAACAATTAACAGCTGACTGTCTTAGCTTTCTTCTTTTTCTTGCTCCATAAAAAAATTCAAAAATATTTTAAGCAAGAAAAAAAAAAAATTGTACATACTGTATGAAAAAAATGAAATTTTTAGCTAGAAAGAAGACCATAAATTCAAACTATCTTTTATCATGTCTGGGAATTGGCTATTTGCCCATAGCTGGGACCCTAACAGGTGCTACCACCCCCGGTCAGGATGGACCTAGGAACAATAGCAATTAAGATCATTGCCATATAACAGATTAAATATTACATAACAGTTCAGCAGTCTTTGCTTCTAACAACACTTAGATCTCTTAATTTCCGGAAGACATCTTTCACTAGTTCTACACAACTGCAGATTTCTGTATAACATTTTCTGTTGTTCATTACATTAAACAGGTAGTTAAATTTTTGTACCAGGTGATTGTAATATCCCTCAATACATCACTCACATCTTGAACTATCTTTTCTCTGTGGCTAATGATATATTTTGTTTTCTTACAGCTAGTCCTAAAAAGGTCTTCCAGATTCCTTTCATCAATGCAGCATTAACCATGTATCTGATATCATTTATGTCAGCAAATAGTAAGTTCTGGTAGGTCTTCTAATTCTTTTGCGATTGTCTTACTTTATAGGTTAAATAAATCTAGTGAGAAAACATCCTTATCTTATGTATTCACTCAACACATTTTCCATTTGTATGTAGCCTGCTTCCATTAGACATTATAGAATACTTGAATATCTTTCCTATGTAAATAAAACTTTTCTAATATTTCAAGTAGGTCATTGTGACAACTTATTAAATACCTTTGGGCAATCTATGAAACATAAATATAAGTGTTATGGTCCGGTTCCTTGTACTACGGTGATAGTCCAAGGTAGAACCAATAAAGAAGAACTCGAACACGTATATGGAATAACACAGATATATTACAAACAGGAATATATACAGAGAGGTAGAAAGTGTTAGTACGAACAATCAGGTTTAGTAGTAATTGTCTGAACGCGACTGTTTCGGACTGCCTCTGACTAGACTGACTGACTCGCTTGCTCTGACTGATTGACAGACTCCTGACGGATTTCACTCCAGACTTCAGACTGAACTCCCTGCTTCCTCTTGAGGCGCAGTATTTATTACGTATGAAATAGTCCATTATGTTATTATGGGTAAGGTCCCATAACAATAAGTCTTTCTGCATTTGAATTTCTCGCGGATAACATTCTGATCATAAGGAATAGGTTTCTTGTTTCAGTGTTTAGTACAAAGCCATGCTGTACTTGCTCTAATTCTGCTTGTGAGGTCTATTCATTAGAATCCTTATAAATTTAGTTACATGGCTTATTAAGCTTATTGTCCAGTAGCACTTATATTCATTTGAACTGGGTTCTTTGACATCACTATGATGACAAGTCCACTGAGGTTTACTTACTGATCTCTGCAATCATCTAAGGCTAACAGAATCTCTTGAAACCACATCTGGTCCTGCTGAATTGTTTCTGTTCACCTTAGCCACCCTTACCTTAAATTTTAAAATTACAGGCCCTTTCATGTTTATATATTGGCAGTTTCTCTACTCTGTTGTCATGGAAAATGTCTCATGTATTTATTCCATATTTATATTATTTTTTTCTTATCACTA